TTTTACTACATTTCTCACTGTTTTGACTTCATATTTGTACTCAGTCATGTTGTATTCTACTGTTTTCATAACCCAGCTATATTTACTCTATTTTGACATCTTAAATGATATTTTGGGCTGATCATCATATTTTTACTGTGCCTGAGTGGCTTTGAGAGATTTCTGACTGAGTGAGGCCGAGAGCCTATGTTGTGAGGTTATTATGGGATCGGGTTGCGCGCCGCTGCGGTATTGTACTAATTCATGATTATGAGGCCGAGGGCCTGAGTTGTTACGCCACGGGGTGGCTTGATATGAGGCCGAGAGCCTGTTTGATTATGCCACAAGATAGCTTGTTATTGCGCTTGGGCCGTAAGGGGCCCTTCCCGAAGTCTGTACACCCCTAGAGAGCGCGGGTACCCAGTGTGAGATGTGATATAGCCCAAGGGGCTGATGTTGTTCCATGTTATTGTCCGAGGTGATACGAGTGATTGAGAGAAAGCCCGAGGGGCTGATTCTGTTGGTATTTTGCCCGAGGGGCTGATTTTATAAATCTATCTTCTCTCACTGCTTTTCATTCACTCGTTTAAATTGCTAAAAGATGTTTTAAAGAGGTTTTTACTAAACTAAGGTGTTTCTATGAGCTTTTACTGTTTTATTACATTGTTATGGTTTTATATTGCCTCTTTGTAGCATTTTGGTGTGTTTTACGTGTTTTTATTATCACTCAGATGCCTTTACTTTTATTACTTACTGAGTTGGCGTACTCACATTACTCCTTGTACCCTGTATGCAGAATTGGGAGTCTCGGGCCACGCTAGCTAGTACTGATTTGCTTCCACCGCAGGCCTATTCGGAGTTGACTAGGTAGCTGCTCGGCGTTCGCAGCCCAGTGCTTCTCCTTCCTATCTTTACATTCCTTGTACTAGCTTTGTACTAGACTGTGTAGTCTTTGCATACTCTTAGACGGATATTTAGATGCTCATGACTGGTAACACCCCGATGTCGGGCTGTGTTTGTTTTCGCATTTTTCTATTCTACTCTTTGTTTTGGGATTTATGGCTTATTAATAGCTTAAAATGAATTATTATAACTGTTTAATTGGTTTGGGGGTTTGTGTCGGCTGGCCTTGTTTCACGATAGGCGCCATCACGATCGGGTCCAGTTTAGGGTCGTGACAACTGGAAAATTATAGGCCCTTTAGTAGTGAAACTATGTCATGACATTTTTAACACTCAAGAAATTCCCAAAAAAATCAACAAAACCTATCTTTGTCTAATCCCAAAAATTCCTAACGCAAATAACATTAGGAATTTCAGACCAATTGGCCTTTGCAACATCATTTACAAAATAATTCTAAAAATACTTGCAAATCGCCTTAAGCCTTTCCTTGAACAAATTATAAGCCCCTTTAAAGCAAGCTTCATGAAAAATAGAAGAGCTTCTGACAATGCTGTTATCATTCAAGAACTAGTTTCCAACTTAAAAAAAATTAAAAGGAAAATAAAGTCACATGGTTCTTAAAATTGATCTGGAAAAAGTGTTTGATCGACTAGAGTGGTCTTTTGTCCATCAAACTCTTAAATATTTCAACTTCCCTCCAAAATTCTCAAAACTGCTATTAAATTGTATATCAACAAGTTCTATAGCAGTTTTAGTTAATGTTTCCATCATAAAATTCTTTGAACCAAGCAGGGGAATCAGGCAAGGTGATTCCATATCACCTTATACCTTCATCCTTTGTTTAGAAATGCTATTAAGATATATAAGTCATCAAGTTGATATTAAGAATTGGGACCCAATAACCACAGGAAGAAGAAGTCCAAATTTTTCCCACTTATTCTTTGTAGATGATCTTACCCTAATGGCAAAGGTCAATAAGAAATCATGCCATACCATTAAGAGTGGATTAGATTATTTTTGTAACTTGTCAGGACAATATATTAACACTACTAAATCAAAAATTCTCTTTTTAAAAAATTGTCCTCAAACTCTTATTAAAGATGTTACCAATACATTAGATATTAAAAGAAGTGATTTCTTTGGTACCTACATAGGTTTCCCTATTTTAAACACATACCGTAGGCCAAGGGACTACCAATTCATAATTGATAAAATGCGTACTAAACTAGCGGCTTGGAAAATGAAGTTCATCAATATAGCAGGTAGAACAACCCTACCCCAATCGTGCCTAAACTCAATACCAAAACATTATATGCAATACATATTACTTCCAAGAAAGATCATTAACCAAATTGATAAAGTTCAAAGACATTTTATATGGGGTACAACCACTGAAAGGAAAAAAAATCATCTTATCAAATGGTCTACTATTTGCCAACCAAAGCTAATGGAAGTCTTGGACTCCATAATACAAATTCTAAAAATTTATGCACTCTAGCTAGCCTAGTATGGAGAATGCTTACTAATGGTACTACATCCTGGGCTAGACTAATGATCTCCTCCTATGCATCTAGCAATGCTAAAAACAAAAATTCTTTCATCTGAAAAAGCATTCAAAAAGGATGGGATTTATGTTCCAAGGGTATTATTTGGTCACCCCATCGTCATTTCAACATAAACATATGGGAAACCAATTGGATTCCAAAGTTAGAAAATCTTAGGAAAACAATAGAAGACCCTTTCTTAAATACGGATTGTTCCATAAAATTAAAAGACATCTTTGATGGGAAAAACTGGTTCTTTAATAAAATCTCCTTCAATATTCCTAATGACGCTAAAGAAAACATCACCAAGGTAAGAATTCGTCTAAAGGGACCAACGAGTGACATTTTAATATGGTCACCAACTACAAAAGGTTTTTTTACGACCAAAACTTGCTATAACCTAATGGAGCCTCCAACAAATACCCAAATAGATTTCAAATGGATTTGGAAATTAGCCTGCCCAGATAAAATCAAATTCTTCCTATGGCAATGTCTCCATAATAAAATACCTTGTAGAAAATACCTAGCAAAGATTGGCTTAAACATTGATCCAAATTGCCCTATATGCAAATGTAAAGAAGGGGAATCTATAATTCACATCTCTTTAACTGCAAAGCCTCTAAATTTTTTTGGGACAGTCTTGGGTGGCAACATTACTATAAAACTCAAGATGAACACTGGCTTATTCAGCTAAAAGCTTTTGATTACCCAATAAAAAATAATTTTATAAATTGAGATTCTTTCTTTCCTTTTGCTATATGGTATATTTGGTAAAATAGGAATAGTAACAATCAAAACAACACTGAAACTCCTATTAATGGTGATTATATTATTGAAAAGGCTACTGAATTCAAACACCTCACTGAAAAAAGTATATACACTCCTCAAAAAATTCCCATCAAAATTGGATGGCACAAACCACCAAAAGGATGGTTTAAACTAAATATTGATGCTAGTTTTAACAGTTATACACAAAAATATGGCCTGGGAGGTGTATTCAGGAATGCCAATGGATATTGGGTAGTGGGCTCTGGAAAATCATCCCATGCTAGCGGATCATTAGAAGCAGAAATCAAGGCTCTACTAGAGGGACTCAAAACAACATAAGAATGAGGAATGTTCCATTTTGAGATAGAGACAGATTCCATGGAGGTAATTCAATCAATCCAACAAGGCAATAGATTATATGATGACATTGTTAATGAATGCAGGTTGTTAATGTACCGACAGAAGGACATAACCCTCCAGCACGCATTCAGGTAAGGGAATAGTATAGCTCATCAAATGGCTAAGAAGGCTGCTGTTCAAACGAAGGGAATTTTTTTTTTGTTGAACCTCCATCTTATGTAAAATGTATTGTGGAAAGGGAACTAGTAGAACACTATGTTTTGTGAAATTTCTATCTTATAAAGCTTGCAATACTCTAGCAAGCGTAGGAAATCAAAGTGTCCTTAATGACACCAAATATGCAAGTCATGTACTAAATGCTACTTAGTTATTAATATATATATATATATTTCCTGTTTGCTAAAAAAATAATCTTTTTATTCTTCTTTTATCTATTTTTTTTAAATTATTTTTTATATATAACTTACGTGTAAGGCTTATACGAAGTGAGATTTTAATAAATCTCTAAATATTATAATTTTCTACATGGTTCGAATAAGAAAACAAATTAATAAGTAAAATTTTAATTAATTTTAAGCTCTTAAATATTTAAAAAGTAATTAAATAACTTTTAAATGAAGTGTTTTTTTAATAACATTTAACATAAAATTTGAGGGACTTCACAATATTTTTTTGTGTGACAAAGATTAAGTTTGAAATGAAAAAGAAAAGCATTAGCATAAATTTTAGTGTGATAAAGATTAAGTTTGAATTAAAAAGAAAAAGCATTAGTTTAAATTTAGTATTTATTCTCGTAAATATTATTTTATTAATAGTACTATGTTGGATGGTAATACTCACGTTTTCTTATTTAATTAACATGTTATGGTGAAGGCTAGGAATTAGAACGTCTTAATTAGCTCAACAATTAAATATTTAATAACCAAAATTTTAGGTAATTTAAATCCTAAATATTAGAAAAGTAACTTAAATTACAATTATGTCCAATGTAAAATTTATTTTTAGTTGAATTTTACTAGGTTGTTGTTGTTGTGAAATTTATTTTTAGAGTGTAAAAAAGGAGAACAATATTTCGCTAAAGGCCTTCATGCTTTTAATATAGTATAAATATAGATATAGATAGACAAATAATAAATAATAAATATAAATATAGATTTGTAAAAGATATAATCAAAGAAAATCTTATTTGACTCCTCAAATAACAATATGTTTATATTTTTTAAACAAAGGGAGAAATAGATTTAAAAAAAAAAGAAAGAAAAGTTATATTAAATATAATTATTATCAATTCTCACCTATTAATGAGTATAAGTATATTTTTTAATTATACTTATATCATATTAACCAAGTAATTATTTGGCTAGACAAAAATATTAGTATATAATTACGCCCAATTATGCGGCTTTCCAAACAAGCTTTAAAGATAAGAATTTTGGGTAGGATTGTGAGACGGTGTGATAGAGCCGCCTACGACCACATCAAGGAGGAAAAAGAAAAAAGAAAAAAGAAAAAAGACGCCTTTTTTCCAATGATTTTCATGTAAAAAGTCTTCTCTTCTTCTCTCCTCTTTCTCTTCGTTTCCCCCATTCTTCTCTTATGGCTTCAAAATAGCTCTAAAATTCCTCTAACCCTACTATTCTGAACCCCTTCTAAACGTGGATTACATATATATACATATAAGGCTGACACTTCGAAAAATTTGGATGAATCGAGGCGATTCTAAGTGGGATTTTGCTAGATCTGTTTTTTGTTTTAGGTAAGTTCTTGGCTATATGGGTAGATTTTGTTTGGAATTTGCACGTGCCAATTTTGGAATATTTGATCTGTTTCTTCATATTCTTGTCTTATTAAGGTTTTTCTTGTATTCGGGTGTGTGTGAAATTTTTTGGTTCGTTATTGTTTTTCTCTTGTGAATCCTTTGTCTTTAAGTCTAATTTTTTCTGTCCTTGATAAGAATCTTGGGAAAATCAGGTTTGCTTATTTATTTATTTAATTATGGGAACAATGATCGCGTGTTTCGAAAATAATGATGATAGTTTTGTTTTTTCGTCGTGGATTAGAGTTTCTGCTAGTATAATTGAAATTGGTTTGTCTCCAAAAGCTGGTCTCAGCTTATATAATGTAAATTGACAGTTTCGAAGTGAGTATGAAAAACCGGGGCTTATATGATGGTTGTTACAGCTTAAGCCTTTTGCCTTTTTTAACCAAAAAATTAAAAAAGAGAGAGAAACTTGTTGGGCATAAATGTGATTTTTATAGCTTAAATTGGACCCCTTTTTTCGTACTCAAGACTGAATGTGATATTGCAGCTATTTATCAACTTAAAAAATGGTAATATTGTGGTTTCTGTATGCTCGTGTTGCAGTGTTATTTTATTTGAAGAACGCATTTGCCATATTGGAGTAAGGGTGTGAATATGATAGATGCTTCACAATTTCACTCTTAGGATGCTGATTGATGGGTGTAAGGTTGCATCTCCTTTTTCTGTTTTAATAATTACCTATTGATATCTTATTGAGATGTTATCCTGCAGATTAAATGTTTTGGTGTTGCTTTTGGAATCATTGGGGATGTTTTGTCTAATTGATGGATGATGACCATTCAATGGATAGTGCTGTCGATCAATTGTCTCGCGAGCAAGTTCAGCGCCTCTACAACAAGGTTGCCTTATCCTCTGATTGCTTTTCCATTTGAATTGAGTGTTTATATATATAAAAAAATCATGCATTCATTTGTGTTGCTTTACTTGTAAAGCTGCAAGTTGGACATCCTTGCATAAAGACGTATTTGTTGACTGTAAGGCTGCTAGCTATATCTGTCTAGTTTATCTTCTTGCATAAAAAGAGCAACTGCATATTTGCTTGTTTGGAGCTTGTAATTGACATTTTTTACTTAACATAATTTTCCCCCCCAAAAGAATGTTGAGTTGGAGAATAAACGTAGAAAGGCAGCACAAGCTAGAGTTCCTTCTGACCCAAGTGCATGGCAACAAATGCGAGAAAACTACGAAGCTATCATCCTTGAGGATAATGCCTTCTCAGAACAACATGAAATAGAGTATGCCTTGTGGCAGTTGCATTACAGGAGAATTGAGGAATTGCGCGCACACTTCAATGCTGCTGTAAATTCTAGTGTGTCAACCAATTCTCNGCATTACAGGAGAATTGAGGAATTGCGCGCACACTTCAATGCTGCTGTAAATTCTAATGTGTCAACCAATTCTCTGAATGGGAAAGTTCCCCATCATAGTGGACCTGATCGCGTCACAAAGATCAGAACACAGTTTAAAACTTTTCTTTCAGAAGCAACAGGATTTTATCATGATTTGATGCTAAAAATTAGGGCTAAGTATGGCCTGCCGCTGGGATATTTCTCTGATGATCAAGAAAATCAGATTCCTTCCTCTAAAGATGGTAACAAATCTGTGGAGGTGAAGAAAGGATTGATATCCTGCCATCGTTGTTTGATTTATCTTGGCGATCTTGCTCGGTACAAAGGCTTATATGGTGTGGGTGATTCCAAAGCTTGTGATTTTGCGGCTGCTTCGAGTTATTACCTGCAAGCTTCTTCACTTTGGCCTTCTAGTGGCAATCCTCATCACCAGGTATTTTCTGTGAGCAAATGGGGAATATGGTTATTGAGTAACCTTCATATGAAACATTTTGTTTTTCTGTCTGTTCTTATTGTGATGGCTGACTGTGTTTCCTCAGCTTGCAATACTGGCTTCCTATTCCAATGATGAGCTTGTGGCTATTTATCGCTATTTTCGCAGTCTTGCAATAGAAAGCCCTTTTGCCACGGCAAGGGATAACTTGATCATTGCATTTGAGAAGGTAAACTGCCTATTGAGAAGATATTTCAAGATTTTGCTGGTAGTTTGGTTAAGATCCTAGACAGCTCTTTCTTTTTTTCTCCTGTATTTATGACGCCTCCCCCCCCCTCCC